TGTAAGAAGGCATGTATTTCACCAACATTTGCCCTGGTACACTTATCCACTAACTGCATGTTGGACTTGTCATAAGCAATTTGGTCAGAGCAAAATGTTAGAAAATCATTGCCTTGAGCTTCACAACTGTAATATTGCTGAAAATACATTCAAGGAAGAACAACAATCAGTATGGACAGAATTAATGAATGGTCTCCTTTTGGAACTCTGTCAGCGCTATGACAAGAAAACGCTTGACCATCTGGTAGATTATGTACGAACGGAGGCTGTTTTTAAACAATGCCAGTCAGCTGTCTTTCATTGGACAGACATATCGTTATTGAAATTCTACAATAAAAAAAACAGATTTGATGTAGAGGTCATTCATGCTGTATTTCCTCCATCTGCAATATATTCTTTGGTACATTGGAAAATTTTGGCCTTATTATTAAAAGGAACTGAATATGTAGAAAACCTCATTACATATGAAAACAAAGTATCCCTTTATCAATGTAGCATTCAACAGGTTATTATGGTTACTGATTCTCATTTCCATTTGGACAAGATTAAACAACAAGCCAGATTTTCTGGCTTACCGATCTATAAGTAGAATGATGGTGAGTCAGTATACCAAATAAGACACCTGGTAGCAAACTATGCATTTCCAAGACGTTGGCCAGCAAGAGAAGAGATGGAAGAAATCATGAAGGATAGACGAATAAGGACGACTGCTGGAATACATCCACGGATAGTAAAAGGGGAGGAGATGAGTGTCCTGAAGTCGTGGATTACAGATTTAGAAATGCTTATCTGTGTGAATAGAATGGTGGCAGTTGGGGAGTGTGGGTTAGACTCCTCCGATAATCCAAACAACAAAGAACTGAAAAAAACAGGTCCATGTATTCGAAGAACAGTTGAGAGTAGCAAAAAGGCAACAGCTACCTGTAGTTATACATTGCAGATGGGATAAGAAGCTAAAAAACATGTGCAGAGATTCATTATCTAATTTCCTAGAGGAAGACCATCCAATTCATTGGCATTGTTTTAATGGTGACATGGAGGAATACCGGCAATGCAAAACTATGTTTCCAAACGGTAAATTTGGCATCTCTTCATTCCTTCTTATGGATAACAAATACCCATCTTACAGATCAACTGTTTGTGAATTGGACCTAGAAGATTTAGTTTTGGAGACTGATTCCCCTTATCTCCACCCTCAAGGATATCCTGAGGCATCTCCAGAACTATTAAAGGATATCATTTGGAAGCTTGCATCTATGTTCGATGTTCCCTCTGAAGACATAGCTAGGGTGACAACTAGAAATGCAAGACAACTTTACAACATAGATTAAACGCTAGAAGAGGAGTTTTGTATATATGTTTTTAACTTGATTCCTGATTAATTGATAGTTATAAACTTTGTCTAGTTCTTTTCTGTTCGGTGACGGATTTTATTATTATATTGTTATAATTGTTAGCATGGATGGTTGACATTTTCATAAGACAGGGAGGAATGTAGTAAAGGTCCGGAAAGATGATATCATAACCGGATTTGATACCTGGACTTAACCAGTTATTTACTGCGCAACCGGGCAGGTTATTTCCGGAGCTCAGCTGATCCCGTTGTGTTGGATTCCAGTCCTGAGATTGCTGCCATTACATCGTATTGTATACGAAAACTGTAACTGCTATTAGGAAAGGTATATCTAATTATTGCACCATTACAACAGGCATTTTCCGCATGGATTTTTTACTGGTCCTGGATTTCTAGACACATCTCCAGACAACAATAAAAGTCTTACAAGTGATGAATGATACTGGGAACTGGTGTTAAAAAGTGTTCCTTTTGTTTTCAATTTTTGAAAATAGCGGGTCTTCTCGGGGACTCCTCTAGGGTGCAAAAGATCTAGTCCAAAATCATAAAAGGACAAGTTTGTGATAGTTTCGGAATAGAAACCAAGATCTTCAGTATTATATCTATTAGTTAAAACCACTGGTTGCGATGTGATTGCAAAAAGACGGATAAAAATCAATGTTGTTGTTAGAGCAAGTATTATACCGTCCAGTCCCGGCACCATCTTATTGAACAGCACAATATATACACCATGAATACCGAGGCGATTAAGAGTCATAGGGATAAATTCGTAAAGAAATTTACAAATGCTATATAGGGAAATATATATAAAGTAAGTATCCCATTTTTTCTTCTATACAGTCCAAGTAAAACACCTTATTTTTAATAAGATACATACATATTATTTTTGTTCAACAATCGAAGTATTCCACATCTTCTTCATGCATGATTTGAGGCAGGATAAACTAGGTAACTACAAGTCAATCCACAGTCAATCGTGTCCACGAACGATTTAAGTTAAAAGTATTCCATTGAATGGCCAGTCATAAACATATCTTATTCTTTGGAATAAATATTCATTATTTTGCATTTTTATATAATAGAGTTACGAATTTTTTTCATGACCCGGATTTTTTTACCGAAAAAAAAAAGCTTCCATACAATGAAACTTGGAATATACTGCGAAATTTGTTATCCAAAGGTCCGAAATATCGTGAGCCTAAATCCATCAATTGGAAATACAACTTCAAAATACTGATGGATTCAGTCGAGGATTATGCCAGGCAATGGGCTAAACGCGAGAAAGAAGACGAAGATACTCTTTCCGAATGGATTAAGGCTGTGAGGTCGTTGATACAAATCCGAATTAAGAAACTAAATGGGCATATCAATACTCACGCTACATCAATTTTTAAAGACCCAAATGTTGCAAAACACTTGTCCTACCTCCATGACAAATATGTTGTTGTCCCCGCAGATAAAGCCCCAAACAACATCGTTTTTGTGTGTAAATATCATTACATAAACTGCTTGATAAATGAATTAGGTATTGACAATTCACTTGGAAACTCAACATACACCCTCACGACACTTACCAAGGAGGAAATCCTAGATAATCATAGGTCTGTTCTATGTTCCTTTGGAATTTCAACCAAAGACGAAGAACTGGATCTTCCATCACTGTATTGGATACCTAAACTTCATAAGTGTCCTTACAAACAACGGTATATTGCTGGGTCTTCCAAGTGCTCCACGAAACCTCTTTCTAAATGATTAACATCTATTTTATCAGCAATCAAAGCCGGGCTCCAAAGTTATTGTGAAACTGCCTATTCTAGAGGTGGCGTGAATCAGATGTGGATACTAAAAAATTCCAAAGATCTTTTAGAGTACATACAATCTAAGACTCTCTCATCTTGCAATAGTATTAAAACATTTGACTTTTCTACACTTTACACAAGTATTCCCCATTCCAAACTAAAAGACAAATTGAAAGAGTTGGTATTACTTTGTTTCATTAAAAAGAATGGCGAACGTAGATACAAGTATCTTGTCTTGGGGAGGGATAAATCCTACTTTGTAAAGAATCACTCTGATTCAAACAAAAAATTCTCTGAAACTGACATTATCAAGATGCTTGATTTCTTGATTGACAACATATTTGTTACGTTTGGAGGACGTGTTTTTCAACAGACTGTCGGAATTCCAATGGGAACCAATTGTGCCCCTCTTCTTGTCGACTTGTTTCTTTATTATTATGAGGCTGACTTCATACAGGAGCTTCATAAGAAGAGAGATAAGAAGTTAGCAATATCCTTTAACTCTACGTTCCGCTATATAGATGATGTTCTCTCACTAAATAATACAAAATTTGGTGACTATGTTGAACGAATCTATCCCATCGAACTAGAGATAAAGGATACTACAGATACAGTTAAGTCTGCCTCATATCTTGACTTACATGTAGAAATTGACAATGAGGGTCGGTTGAAAACAAAACTTTACGACAAAAGAGATGATTTCAGCTTCCCAATTGTGAACTTTCCATTTCTATGTAGCAACATTCCAGCAGCGCCTGCATACGGAATATATATCTCCCAATTGATACGATATTCCCGGGCTTGTGTTTCCTATCATGATTTCCTTGATAGAGGATTGCTGCTCACAAGGAAGCTATTAAACCAAGAGTTTCAAATGGTGAAGTTGAAGTCATCCCTTCGTAAATTTTACGGACGCCATCACGAGTTGGTTGACCGTTATGGAATAACCGTTTCACAGATGATATCGGATATGTTCCTTATGTCGTAACTACAATACCCTTCCCTTTTCACGAATGTGATTTACCGAATTAGACTATTTACCGGATTTGTAATAACATAAGCAACACGACGGGTGCCACATGTGGAGCAGGATCTGCTTACCCTTCCGGAGCACCTGAGATCACCCCCAGTTTTTGGTGGGGTTCGTGGTGCTTAGTCTTTAGTTTTCTATGTTGTGTCATCTGTACTATTATTTGTCTGTTTGTCTTTTTATTTTTGGCCATGACGTTGTCAGTTTGTTTTCGATCTATGAGTTTGACTGTCCCTCTGGTATCTTTCGTCCCTCTTTTTGTACTTGTTTTTTTTTTATTAAATTATGATATTCATTGTTTTGTGCATGTTAGGGACAGCAGTTATTGTGGAAAGTGTATTCAAGTTATATCACTGAGTTATTTAGCATGGTGCTTTAAGTGTATACTAGTAGTATCGATAAATTATAAGAAATGAAAGCAAAGGATGTATATGAACCGAAACAGTTGAAGAGCTATATGACCAAAAAAATCTATATGAATAGCTAAATCAATCTAAGGTAAGCTTTGCCTGAGGGAGTTGAAACCTAAGTTTCTTTATAATTTCAACAATTATAAACGGACAGTTTTAAAAGGGATTGTTATAAATCATGTCAGTACCAAAGTACTGACCACTGAACTGATGATACCCTAGATGACTGATTGTCCACCAGAAGAGGTTTTGACCCAGTGCTGTAAAAAATGAAAACAACACATTATAAATTTCATGCATCCGAATCACTTTTTAAAATAAGCTTCTAAACAAATTTCAGTAATTTCATCTTCTGGTTAATCGAATAAATAAAAAAACTTATGTATCTATTTTGTCTATCGTTTCAGGATGGCATCTAAGGTGTTGATATGTGACCCATGTTCTAGACTGAATAAATCCTCTAACGCCATGAAGTTTTGTACGGATTGCGACGATGCGCTATGTACAGACTGTACTACTGTTCACAGTGCTCTGAAGATTACTATTTCGCATAATGTGGTTGATGCGACTGCTTTAATTGGTCGTACATTCAATTTACAAAAATACTGCAACGATCATCAAGATATGCCTTTAGAGTTTTTCTGTTCAGATCATGATTGCTTACTGTGTCGATCATGTATGGCTAATACCCATCGTACTTGTGGTAAGATTCTACCAATAGATGTCGCGGCAAAAGGGATAAAGTCTTCAGTCATGTTTGATGATATTAGTAAGGATATTTATGCTTTACGGAAATCGGCAAAGGAACTGGTTGAGGACAGACAGAAGAACAAGAAACGAGTCCAACAGACCAAAAAATTGACACAACAAAAGATAACAAAGTTCAGAAATGATATCAATAAGCATCTCGACCAATTGGAAAAGAAACTTTACTCTGATGTGGATACTATGGAGAGAAAACTTGACGAAAAAGCGTCCACAGATCTGTCTGAATCGAAAACAACAGAAAAAGATATAGAAGATATATGGGAACAAATCAATTTTCTTAACAAACACGGTTCCGAAAGTCAGTTGCTTATCCTGCTTAATGCAGTAAGGACGAAAATTACCAAACAATCCACAAACCTTCAGGAGCTTATTTTGTCCCACGAAATGAATGGCTTAGATTTTGAAAAGGTAGATTTGACATCTGCCATAAATTCCATTGGATTAGTTAAGCATACGTCTTCTCCATGTTCCGTGTCATACCAGCTTCCTAAACATGTACAAGCACAAATACAACAAACACATGGGAATGTACCAACAAAGTTCGAGTTTGAAAAGAAAATTAACATACCCTCTGGTCGAATCACATGTATAGCTGTTACTGACGACAATAGATTACTTCTGTGTAATGACGTTCACTTAAAAAATAATTTAATGGCATACAAGGAGACCGGTACTCTGGTTCAAACGTGCACTATTTCCAGTAGGATATTTGGTATAGCTATAATACCACACACAGAAGAAGCAGTTGTTAGTTTGGCTGATGTCAAGATTGTTCAGTTTGTCAATATAGTAAGCCTGATGCCTGGTAGACAACTTCGAGTTATTATTGAGGACAGTTCCATGTATGGTATTGCAGTAGTTCGTGATTCAATAATTGTCGGTGGCAGTTCTGGTAATGTGTATGTCATTGAGAAAATGAAAGGGAAATGTCTTAAAACGATTAAAATCGGTACAGGTAATATATCTTCACTCGTGCCATTTGTAAGCGCTAAAGATGAAGTGCTATTCTGCTGTGAATATAACGGTAACAAGAAAGTGCATAGTATGAAACTGGATGGAACTTTAATTTCCAGTTGTGAACTAGGAAATGCAATAGGAATGACATTAGATTCAAAAAGAAATGTTTACGTCGCAAGTTCCGACTCTGATGAATTATATCGCCTATCATCAGATTGGGACGTTGATGATATCCTGTTAATGAAATCAGATAGACTTGATAAACCAATGGGTGTTGCTTTCAACAGGACATATAGTAAGCTGTACATTTCAAACTGTGGGTTCGATAAAAGTCTTCTGGTTTTCAATTGTAAATGAGACAGATTACAAGAAAAAAAGAATGTCATATTTGAAAAATAACAATTATATTAACATTTCTTATAGTTAGCTATAAACAAAAAAAATGTTAGACGAAAAAAAAAAAGGTCGAAATAAATTTTAGAAACATGAAATCCAGCGAATAACTCTTTCAGTTTTCAAGCTAGAACTTTTTCTTATCATGTAGGCGGTTTATTCATATTGTAGCATTTCCTTCCTTATATCTGTTCTAAATATCAAAATAATTTTGTGATGACGCATGTTGTCATTCATCAAAGACTTAAAGTTTTTGTCTATGGTACGCGCTTTATTTTTATAGTAACAGTCCCATTGTTTGGATTTTAAACTAATACAATTAGTCTTCTTTTTCCAAACTACAGCCGTGCATATTATCAGGATTTGGATATTTGCCAGTGTCGACAATTGACAAGATGGTGAACTTTGTCGTTTCGTTCTGCAATTACGTATGTGTAGGGTACACGGTTTGTCCGACTAACTCATCTTACAATTTTTAGGCTACAACTCATATAATTATGCAGACTCTTTGTACATTAAGTATGCTATTAAATGGTAGTATGTTATCAAGATTTCGATTTGTTTTTTATTTCAGACTGTTGTCCTTTCTTGTGTATTTATGCATGTAGGGTACATGGTTTGTCCAGCTAACATATACTTTTAAGCTATTTTATGCGGTTTTTGTACATATATTTAAGGAGTTTATATGATAAGGACTTAGATTTTTGTAAAATTTTACGCAAATGACAGGATGTTGAACTAAGCTATAATCAAGTAAACATGCATTTATGATAAATTCCATGTTCAGTTGGTGTTTTTACATCAGTCCCACATTAACCAAAAGCATTTTATTTTACTTGGATGTGGCACTTGTTGTTAACTTTGCAAATATTTAAGTAGTTTGAAATGAATATCAACAATACATTTGAGGGGAGAGGGTATCAAATGTCAGTGATTCAAATTCAAGCTTGGGCCATTTTTTAAGAATCTTAAATGTTCACTTACTAGAATTTCGTAGTGTTATAGCTGTCAGTGGCGGATCCAGAAATTTTCATAAAGGGGGGGGGGGGGGGGGGGGCACTGACTGCCTAAGAGGGGGCCCGATCCAGTCATGCTTCAGTGACTCCCTACATAATAAACCAATTTTTTCCCACAAAAGGGGAGGCCCGAGCCCCTGGAAAACCCTCTAAATCCGCCTCTGGCTGTTAAGTATGTATTCCACCTCACATTTGGTAACATCCTTTTTGCGTGGCTCGGTATTTATACATCCCGCTATTGTTTTATTGTGCAATGGTATTTTTTTGTATTCTTGTCTTTCATTTTTGCTCATGTGCTTATGTATTGTGTCTATAGAGTGTCTACGTGCCATTTTGTTTTTCTTTGTTGACATAGTTGTTTTTATCGTGATTAAGATTATAACACAATGTTCACTGCTGTGCCCCAATTTTTACATTTTTACCTATTATGTCTGTTTTGCTCACATATTGTTGTCAATATATTGGAATTTTATGCGACTGTCATACAAGAGAGAAGTTAAGCTAGCTATAAAACCAGGTTTAATCCACCATTTTCTACATAAAGAAATGTCTGTATCAAGTCAGGAATATGACAGTTGTTTCCATTCGTTTCATGTGTTTGAGCTTTTGGTTTTGCCATTTGTTAAGGGACTTCCCGTTTTGATATTTTCTTGGAGTTCGTTATTTTTGTTATGTCGTATCTTTTAACATGAAAACTAGTAAGAATTCTTTAAACTGTCAATTTTGAGTATGCTATAAAAACTTACATAAAGCAGACTGTTATCTGCGTGTAACGCTATGCATTTAATTATTTAAGAAACCTACTCAAATGGCCCCTTTGTTTGCTAATTCTTATCCATCCTGTTTGTATTTTGGTTTGATAACAGCAGGAGCATCGGCATACAAGTTCTGGTTCACTCTTTTTGTTGGATGGTGTGTCTGCTTCTATCAGATTTATTTGAGCCATTGCCGATTTGTTGTTGTTTGGTAATTAAACTCATCATAGATACCAGGATTAAAATGTTGTACAGCAAACGCGCGTTTCGTCTATAAAAGACTCATCAGTGACGCTCGAATCAAAAAAGTTAAAAAGGTAAAATAAAGTACACAGTTGAGGAGCATTGATGACCCAAAATTCCGGAAGGTTTAGCCAATCACAGATAAGGTAATCTAATCATGTGATAGAAAATCCTCAATATTTCGAAAAATTAAGCCTTGTACACAATTAATTTATGATTATGACCATATCCATGATAATTCGTGTTAATACAGAAGTGCTGACCACTGGGCTGGTGATACCCTCTGGGATGAAACCTACACCAGCAGTCGCATCGACCTAGTCGTTGTAACTCATCATAGATAAAACAGTAATATATTTTGTAAATTGTTTGGATTAGTCGGTATATGATTGTGCTTTCCCATGTACTTACATCAACCTGCCTGCATTGTAGATTTAGTGTAAACATATTTTATAAATGGATTCGGCATGTACAAATTTTAGTATGAAGAATTACAGAGTATGCAAGTATTTAAGTGTTTTATATAATTCTTTTCACCAAGTTCAAAAATAAAATTATGAAACTATATCTATACAAAAGAAAAATTGTACAGTGAATACAATAACCTAAATAAAGATCATTATTGAATTTATATACATGAAAAGTTAGTTCATGGGGATGAAGAAAGGTGATAATAAAATGATTACAGTGTATAACGGATTTATTCTACAGAAGAGAGGAGTTGGTAGAAGTATTATAGTACTGTAGTTGAGAAACGATTGCTCCACAATTAAGTTTTGCAGTTTTGATTGGCTGACAGCCTATTGGAGACAAAAAGTTAAATATTTGTGGAAAATCTTATTGGAAGACCTAGGGTTTATATATGTCTATGACAAGATACGCAGAATCTTTGGCATTTTAGTAAATAATGTTCAGCAAGTTCATTTTCCCCAACAAAAAATTATAGATTTGATACATTTTGATGACATGTGATAACAGGATCTTTTTGTTGTACAACTCTATTCCTGTATCTGTCCATATCTGTTATCAAACTCTGCTTCAAACTTCCTATCAAGATTTTGTTTGTTCTTCGTAGTAGAATGGACTATGCATATTCCATAAGACATCAATTACATTCGGCATGTACAACTATCTTTCTCTATTTTTGCAGGTGGTATTTTGTCCTCTATATACAGTCTTTTGGTTTTTGTTGTGTAGCTACCAAACATTATTCTATTTATATTGCACGTGTTTTGGTAATTGCCTACTTGATTTTTCATTTAGGCAAATTTACGTCTCAAAAGAAGAATTTCCCATCTACAATATATTGATGAAGATGATAGTCCTCTAACATAATTAGTTGTCAACAACATCTCCACTTTGTATTACACAAATTGATTTGTGCATTAAAAATCATGAATTTTATTGATTTTGTAATGGAGCCCCAACAGACTATTAAATCCTCTCAATCACTTACAGGCTAAGATGAGATCTTGCTTCATTTTAATAATGTTCAAATAAATGCTGTGGTCTACATTGTTCACTTGCCCTTTCACTTACCACAAGGGTTGACTGGGGTATAGGAAAATGGCAATACCTTTGATTGCTACTGACTGGTAATTTGGGCAATAAAACCCTTGCTAAAGTGGAGAAAAAGTTAGGCTGTCCAGGTGTATAAATATATCCAGTCGAAAAGAGGTAGAAAAAAAAAGACTCATGTAGAGAGTGCCACACTTTCTGCATGTTAATTAACCCTTTTAAAAACTCTTTAAAGAGTCCATAGGTGGCCAGTTCAAAGCAAAATTTCTGTCCCCTATCCAACACAGCCTCATTTTCAGTGGAAGTTACAATTCTCATCCTCCATACCGTTGACTCACTTAGCTCAATCTAAATATATGCATGAAATAATTATCACTGGATGTTATGCAAACAACAATCAATTAATCATAACCTTCTCCTACGTCAAAACCATAAAATAGATATTCTCCTTCAGATGTTATATATAAATTTCTACTGAATTTTGACATAAAACCTTTTTTCCATATAATAACCTTTGTTTATAGCTTTCATGAATAAGACAAACCATAAATCCAGTGTATAAAAATTTTATTTCAATCACACATCACATACAATTCACTCCCCCATTCTTCTTTCATAATTCAAGCACAAATACAAACACACACACACACATACACATACATTTATTCTCCTCCATTAATACGAAATTCACCCTCAGCTGAGATGCTCAGCACTGCTGCCTTTAACTTACTCCCCATCACAGATTTTACTTCAAGGGTCAATAAACTTTCTTTCTTTGTAATAAATAATTACTGTCTCATACTGCATAAACTTGCTACTATTTTTTTTACACATTTGCATAAATTGCAAAATTTTAGTCTCATTCACTCACTGTCAAAATTGCAACTGTGTTTCATCAATCAACAGTTATCATTAATTTTGTTAAATTCATCATTATCACAAATCAACAACAAACTGTCAGATAATTTGAATGTCCATAATAACATGATATAAATAAATGAGGAAATGAAAGTTGATTGCACTGTTGTCATGGTTATTTAACAAGTCCTAATTTTTTAGCCTCTGTTTCATACACCAACAGTCTCCACATTTTAACAATAAATACTTCAGCCTCTTCATCAAGAACCTAAAAAATACATAAATCATTATTACATACATTAAATAAGAAAAAATAATCCCAGTCACAGTCACACAATTAACGGTAAAGATCATCATACTGTCAAAGAAGACAGTAGCTATGGAATATTACTGATCAAATATAAATCAAATGTAAAAGTAAACTGTTGTAGTGAAATGATGTTGACATACCTTATTACTCTTACTAATTAACAAAAGGCTTCGCATTTTTGCGCCTGTCCAAAGTCAGGAGCCTCTAGCCTTTGTTAGTCTTGTATTATTTTTAATTTTAGTTTCTTGTGTACAATTTGGAGTTTAGTATGGCGTTCATTATCACTGAACTAGTATATATATTTGTTTAGGGGCCAGTTGAAGGACGCCTCTGGGTGCGGGAATTTCTGGCTGCATTGAAGACCTGTTGGTGACCTTCTGCTGTTGTCTTTTCTATGGTCGGGTTGTTGTCTCTTTGACACATTCCCCATTTCCATTCTCAATTTTATTTGTAACATGATGTAAGTATGGATGAGCTCTGATGGTACTCCCTTATGCCCAAACCATATCAATAGGAGTTTGGACATAAAAATCAAGAAATTTTGCAGTTTTAAAATAATTTCCAGGGAAAATAAATCATCTTTACTTCAAGAATAGGCGTTAATGTCCTGTTTATCTTTTTTTTAACTTTGTTCAAATATATTTTGTTTATATTATGGTTATGCTAGATCATGATTACTGTATTATATTTCACTTTTGTTTTGCTGTGTACTACTTTTGGTGAGATTACAACCTGTTTGAGTTGGTTAAAATGTCAACATTATTAATTTTACAGTTATGCATATATATATACACGTTATGAAAGCTCTCTACAAAAATCTTTCTTATTTTACAAATTGTTATCCAACTTACCATAGCTACATCATTGAGTATACTTTGTGGAGTACTTCTAGCCATTACTTTTTGACATATAAAGTCTGTAAGTGTAGGTTCTTCTTCACCAATATATTCTATAATCTTTTTGTTTACCCAAGGTTTAATTCGTTTATCCATTAAGCTCTAGAAAATAAACAACAACATATTAGGAAAATAGGTACTCCATGCATATAATAATTCATATTACTCATCAGTGGTTGTCTTGTTATATATTAATATTTCTTGTCATTTGGGAATAAGGGGTTTATGGCAGATCTATAACAAATTCAATAAATTTTTCCATACTTCCATTGATTTAGAGCATGACATATTGTATAGATACCTGCCTATTGATGAAGAGAGTATGCTGACCTCTAGATGTCGATTGTTTTTTAAGTCATAGGTATGCTATCTCATTGATGTAAGTCATAGGTATGCTATCTCATTGATGTAAACCTCTTTCTCCTTTCACTCATAATTACTAGTGAACAGATTGATGATATTCCACTGCCCTGGTCGAATTAGCTATCTTATGAAAAACATATATCTTATCCAATGAAAATGCAGTTGATGAAGGCATGTCTAAACCCTGTGACATCTATGTCAAATAATCCTAAGATAATAGCATTTAATGACATTTTGATCTTTTCTTATTTTGGTCAATGGGAATGCAACTTTTATCTTGATAATAATTTTCTTGGTATTTCTCAGATTTTTGTTGTTGGGTTGTGTTGACCATGCTCAACGTTCCCATTTTTCATTTATCAGAATGTATCTTAGCACAGAAAAGTTGTTGTTTACAAGTAGCATTAACTACTTATCTATTCAGCTTGAATGTACTGCTGTCAATTACAAGCTCCTGCAATTTATATTTGATTTCAATATCAACAGCTAACTCTTCTACTCATGTTAATTATAACCATACCTGATCAACAATGGTCCAGTCCAGAGGATAAGAAAACAGTTCCTCTTTTGCTGTAGGAATATTTTCAATTAAATGTTTTATTTTAGCACGTTTTTCTTCTGCAGTTGCTGCTGCCTTTTTATCGTTTTTATCATCATCATAATCTAATGGAACAAGTTTACGTTTTTTAGCACCATCTGCAGAGTCCTCATCGTCCTGATTAAAAACATCACCAACTGTCAATTTTTTACGTTTATTTGTAGATCCTTCTGTTGGACTTGTAGCTCCTGCAAATAAAAATACAACCATACAAGTACATAAAAGCTAGAATCTCTTAAAAGCCTGTGTTGCTCACCTGGCTCTATGTGCATCTTCAACAATGGCCACTTTCCAAAATTGTATACTAGAATACAATTCTTTACTAAAATCTCTTTTTTGTTGATCTTGAATTGCTGATAATTTTTCTGTTTACAGTTTCTCTCTATCTACTATAAAATAATCATTCAGGAACAACAACTCCTATATGCACTAGTACCTACCAGACTGCAGTTTCCCACTTTATGAGTACTTAACCCAGACTGAGACTCCATCTATGTTCAGTAGGAGTCTGAGCAGTTGTTTGACAAATGTCTCTGAACTGTTCTACATCCAGTCATTTTCAAAAGCTGATGAGTTGTATTTGATTAACTTCTTAGTGATAAGCTACTTACTGAAGGTGGGGTTTTACCTCCAGCAATAAAACTGACAACCATTTTGAAATTAATAAATGTAAAGTGGCATACCAACAAAACAATAAAAGAACATTATACCAGAATTACAAATATCGTGGTACCACCACATAAGTTAAGAGATCTAACACCTAACTTTATGTCTTGTCATTACCTATCTGGTTTAAAGGGATTAAAGCCTAACTTTGTATCTTTTGAGTACCTACACAGTTTCAGACCACTGCAACAGTATTTTTTATCTTGTAAATCTATACCCATTTTAGAAGGACTTAAGCCTTTTCAGTGTTTCCCCCTATATTTTTATCATGCGATTTGAAATAGCAGGTTTTTTCTCCCTAAAATTACAGAAACAAAATTATTAAAACAGTTCTGTTATTAAATATATTCTGATGGCACCATGGTAAAGAAACAGCACAATGGTACCATGATGCTACAAGGCCTTGGGAATAACAGTGCTTACTTTCTGAGTACCTAAATAATTATTGAGCAAAAAAGCCTAACATGGTATATTGTAAGAACCTACCTAGTTTAAGAGCACTAAAGCTTAACTTGGTATCTTGTGAGGTTTCATCTGGAGGAAGATTGCTATCGTCGTCTGTCAAAGGACTAACATTATTTGATACAGGACGTAATGTAGGTTTCATGTTTGGTAATGGTTTAACCTCTTCCTCCTCCTCCGCTGACTCTTCCTTTACTTCCTCTTTCTTGGGAGGAGGTGTTGGAGATCGTGATTCTGGCTCAGTAAACTGTAATCGTGGCTTCAAGTGCTCCTCTCGTTCTTTTTCAATCTATAAAAGTAAACATTACAAATTAAAGACAATTCAAAATCCAGCAAAAGATTCATGTCTTACTCCAATAAGGCAACAGGATAAGTTAAAGATTACCTTTTCTTAAAATAAATTTTGCTGCTTAGTACTGTCAAAATATTATTATTTGTGGGTGCAAACTTACAGGGAATACATTACAGAAAAAAATTCGTAAGGGTTCCGCGGAACCCAGTGTCTCGCCTACTTTTTCTGTTAATCGCAGGCTCAACAAAAATGAGGAAGTAAATCAATAAAAATATTCCTCTTGATACTATCTTTTGATTGTAAGAAGCTTCTGTCCAAGTTTGGTAAAAAGCCAGGATAGTTTATGAATCTAATAAATGTTTAAAAACTTTTAACTGCAGACTGAATGTAATATTAACTGGAAGAAAACAAAATTTCCTTCTAGATACTAGCATTTGATCATAAACAAGCTTCTGTCAAAGTTTGGTACAAATCCAAAATAGTATAAGAAAGTTATTAAAATTTTAAAAACTTTAACCACAGAGTGAATGTGTTGTTTCCTGGCAGAAAATCTAAGTCCATTTAAAAGTAAAAAATGGAAAAAATGGATTTATTTTTTTTACAAAATTTCCTTCTAGATACTAGCTTTTGATCATAAACAAGCTTCTGTCCAAGTTTGGTACAAATCCAAAATAGTATAAGAAAGATATTAAAATTTTAAAAACTTTAACCACAGAGTGAATGTAATATTTCCCGGCAGAAAAATTTCCCGGCAGAAAAACTAAGTCCATTTATAAGTAAAATACGGAAAAAATGGAATTTTATTTTTACAAAATTTACTTCTGGATACTATCTTATGATCATAAACAAGCTTCTGTCCAAGTTTGGTAGAAATCAAGGATAGTTTAAGAAAGTTATTAAAATTTTAAAAACTTTAACCACAGAGTGAATGTAATATTTCCCGGCAGAAAAACTAAGTCCATTTATAAGTAAAATACGGAAGAAATGGAATTTTATTTTTACAAAATTTACTTCTGGATACTATCTTATGATCATAAACAAGCATCTGTCCAAGTTTGGTAGAAATCAAGGATAGTTTAAGAAAGTTATTAAAATTTCAAAAACTTTAACCACAGAGTGAATATTTGTGGACGCCGCCGACGCCGACGGAATGTAGGATCGCTATGTCTCGCTTTTTCGACTAAAGTCGAAGGCTCGACAAAAAGGTTCATGCATGGTTTTTAAATTAGAGGTTATGAATTTTAAAAAGTACATGTCAATATTGAATGCAGAATTCTAGTTAGGCCCGAATAGAGGGATGTAGCTCCTTTAAGACTGTATAGTCCTGCCCTATGCATTTTTTTCTGAAGGAAAATAAATTCTTTATAATGAAAAAAAATGCTTTAAAAATCATAGTTGTGGCACTGGCATGTATGCATTTCAACAGATTTTACTATTGTGCCTATGATGTCCCTTTAAAACCAAGAGAACTGGTACCCTAATAATATAATTTCTCAAATATCTAAAAATCAGACTACCTTAGCTAACTCTGCATCAGGATCAGGATGTCCTTCTTCCATCAGTCGTCTCTTTATTTCTTCCAATTCTTCTTTTTCTCTCTGTCTGTCTCTGGCATCAGCTTCTCTCTCCTTTTCTCTTTCTTTCATTCTCCTCATTAATGCACTACCCCTGTTAATAAAATAGACACACTGAGTTAAATACAAGAAATAACAGTGTTTAGGTCAACTGTAGTCTATTATTTAATAAAAGGGAGAACATGCTTTCTTTTGATTGAAAAATCCCTTCGACTTCTTTTTTCTCTCCAATGCTGGAATCTATTGGGAAATAATAATAACCATGCTTCTTCTGCCTTTCAGGTTCACTTTTCAATATCAAACATTTTTAACATTAATCCCATCAATAGAGGTAAATAATATAATCTTACTTGTAGTATTTTGGATCATCTCTTTCATCATCATAATCTTCTAGGAATTCCTTCAACCGTCTGGCCTCTCTTACCTATGAAGATACAAGAGTCTCTTGTCAATAAGAATAATTCAGGGTTATTAAATGTAGATTTTTTCACACTGACATAATCATTTGCTAATTGCATTGACATCAAAAAGTTTTCCTTGCAACATATTAACTACAAGAACATCCTGTTATAAAGGATATCAATTTAAGTCGGAGAAACCTCAATGCTAGAAAAAATACACATTCTAAATCTTATATCATGTTGGAGGAAAAAAAGCATGATGACCCTATAAAATATCAGAAATAATATGAAATACTATGAAATCAAATATACTTACTCTACTACTATTTTCTATATTTTACCCTCCCCCCTTTCCAAGAAAATAATCCTTTTAAGCAATATATATATAAATCGAACACACTAATATTCTGTCATTTTTTGAAAGGTAAAAAGTTCTACCAATATACAAAAGTCCAGAAATTTTTTAAGAAACCTTCATATATAATCCATAAGTTTTATATAAAATAGTGTTGCTTTAGCATTTAATTTCAAAAAAACATTAAATAGTAATATATCAAGAAACATACCTCTTCCTGTTTTCTATCTTCTTCTCTTTCCCTTTCTTTCTCATACTCTCTAGCTTTCTTCCTTTCTCTGGCTTCCCAGTTCTTTAATCTCTGAGAATAAAACATGGAAATCATTCGATGTTGTGCTTACATATTGCAATAGTGAAGTAAGTTAATTTGATTATACCCCTTTCAACATGTAGGACCCATTTATATTTCCTTTTGCAAATCCTTAGGTAGTGTTTTACAACAAGTCAAGAAGAAACTGTGCTTACAAACCACACGTAGAAACAGATAGACAGATAGACAGGATAATTCCTATAAACCATTAAAAACTTTGCTATAACAATATAAAATTTGTCTGTAAACTCTTAATAAAATGTTGACTCAGAGATGTCTCCCCTGTAAGCAGAAAATTGGATAAAAGAGGATCTGATGGACAGCAACACTGCTAATTAATTCAAAGTTGCTGGACCATGCATGACCTAAAGGGTAGGGCCTCAAAATAGTGGGCAAACTGATATGTACTGATAGTAATGCAACTACATATAAAATATCATTGATCTATCAGAAGTAGTTCCTATCAAAGTGACTTAAGCAGAAAATTTAACAATAGATGACACTGCCGGAAGAGCAACACCTATGCCTCGCCATCCATGACTTTTGTTGCAGGCAAGCCAAAATAAACAGCTGCGCCACGAGCGCATGATACGCCTGTCGTCTTGTGTGTGAGGTTTTATGCCATAATCATAAATCGTTTCTGAGATACGGCGTGACATGTGAAAACCCCCCTTTTTTATAAAAAAAATCAATAACTCTAAAATAAAATTTTGAATTATCACCAAAAAGTATACAGATCTTTAGATTAATATAATTAAGAAGTGTGTAAATTTTTAAGCAATAATCATAAATCGTTTTTGAGATACGGCACGACATGTGAAACACCCCCCCCCCCCCCCCCCCCCCCCCCCCCCTTTCTTTACAAAAAACTCAATAACTCTAAAATAAAATTTTGAATCATCACCAAAAAGTATACAATCTTTAGATTAATATAACTAAGAAGTGTGTAAAGTTTTAAGCAATAATCATAAAACGTTTTTGAGATACGGCGCGACATGTGAAAATAAACTGCTTCGCTGAGCACAGCTGGATACGCCCGCAGAGGTCCAACCCTGAACAGTTGGGGCAAAAATGGACACAATATTCTAGCTTGATACAGGTCTGAATTTGGATTGTAATTAAATATTTAACATATTATAGGTTTCTGAATAAATGTAGTCAAAGAACTTGAAATTGGTTATATGAATTGAATTTATATTCAATTAAAGATTTCTTGCTGTTGTGCAATACACTATGCTGTTGCGCAATACTTAGTAAATCTGTTGTCAGACTATAAACAAATAAAATTTAAAAAATTCTAAAGGGAGCTTACATCAATAGATATAATCAATTCACCAAAGTCTCATAAGAATTGCTGAAAGCATTTTTGAGTTATTGTCTGAAAACTGGAAAATCCCCCCTTTTTTAATGAATAAAACCCCATAACTCGGAAATGTAAAATCTAAAATTTATAAAATTCTAAAGGGAGCTTACATCAATAGATATCAACAATTCATCAAAGTTTCATGAGAACTGCTGAAAGCATTTTTGAGTTATTGTCCGAAAACTGGAAAATCCCCCTTTCTTTTTATGAATAAAACCCCGTAACTTGGAAACGTAAAATCTAAAATTTATAAAAAACAAAAGGAAGCTCATGTCAATACATATAAACAAACAATTAACCAAAATTTCTTGCAAGTTGGTGAAAGCATTCTTGAGTTATTGTCCGAAAACTGGAAAATCCCCCTTTTTATAATGAATAAAACCCCTTAACTCAGAAACGTAAAATCTAAAATTTCTAAAAAACAAAAGGGAGCTCACGTCAATAGATATAAACAATTCACCAAAGTTTTATGCAAATTGGTTAAAGCGTTTTTGAGTTAATGTCCGACATGTTGACGACGGACGGACAGACGGACAACGGTATACCACAATACGTCCCGTAAACGGGCGTATAAAAACACCCCCCTGTTTAAGTTACAAAGTCCCTAACTCAAAAATTTTAATCTTATTTTCACCAAAAAGTATACAGATCGTTTGACCATCATAAGAAACAACTATTTTTAGTTTCATGAAATTTGGATAATTCTCAAGTTATGGTGTGACATGAGGACGCCGGACAGACGGACAGACAGACAGACGCCGGACATTTGTATACCATAATACGTCCCGTCAAAATTTTGACGGGCGTATAAAAACTGATTCCTGACAATGTACTTATTCATATATTTTTAATATGAGATTATACCTCCTGGTAAGCAGCTTCTTTCTCTCTCAACTTCTTTTCTAGCTTCCTTCTTTCATGAGCCTCTTCTTCTTCCTCCATATCACGATCTCTCTCCTTCCTTCGTTCTCTGGAAAAAAGTGGTACAATTATCTGGTTAGGAAAATGTATCATTTTGTCATGAGAAATTCAAATGAACAGATATTACTATCAGCTTCTGTCAAATATGTATCAAGATGGCATCAATAGAATGATTATGTGCCCTTAAATCAACTGTTAATAGTTCCAATATATGAATAAGGACAAGACTTACAGTGTTTGGACAATTATAATGACATTGGTTAAATATTTTAATAACAATAGGGACTGTGATTTTGTCATAACTGTAGGGATTTGGTTCATAATTCTTCATTGGAGCAGCTTAAGTGCAGCTGAGAATACTTAAAAGATTATCAATTTGACTTTGTATTCATTTTTTTAAACTTGATCAAACTTATGACAATTTGTAGTTTTCTCTGTTTTGGCTCTTTTGTTTGAAAACTAATCAATACATCTTTATAAGCCAAAGGTAAATTTTTCTTATATGTGTTGCTGAGAGTGGTTCATTAAAATTTATCAATGGTCCATGAAAACGAGGTCAATGTCAGATGCGCAGGCGCTGATAAAAACAATATTTATCATATTTAGTACCTGTCCCATGATCTTGACCTAGATCTAACCCGTCTTGTCAATCTTGTCTGTGACCTAGACCTTGACCGACTTCTGGTTCGCCTGTCATTCCTGTTGTATCTTTCTTTTTCATATCGTTCCCGTTCCCTTTCTCTTTCCCTTTCCACTTCTCTTTCACGTTCTCTTTCCTTAGCCCTTTCTCTATCACGGATTCTCTTCTCCTCTTGGATTCTTCTTTCTCGTTCTCTTTCTCTTTCCCTCTCCCTTTCTTTTTCCAATTCTCTCTCAGGGTCATCTTCACCCTAGAAAAAAATAGAACATATTCTGTAAGCATACTGTCCATCTATTATATAACTACTATTGATAAGCTTTTAATCAATAGCATTTACACTTCTGATAAATATACTTCAACAATAACAATCTTAAAGTAAATATAAGCAGTAAACAACAGATAAGAAGCTGTTTGAGGTTGATAAGAATTACAAAAAAGTGGATCCAACTGGAGTATTACCATTAGGAAAAAATTATGGGTCAATAATAAATTTTCAAGGAAGAGAAAGGACGTCTAAATGATCATGCATATACTTTCAATGATAAGCCCATTCCCTTTTCTATCTTAAAAGTTTTTTGAATGGGAACTTTATAATTCTGGTCTACCTATTTGAATAATGTATAAAAGTACATTCATTTTCTCTCCCCCTCTAGGTTTTTGCAGTTTGGAAGACTCATTAAGTCATTAATAGAAGCTTTTCTTTGTAGCAGGATTGATCAACTTGGAATAAACACCCAGTAAAACTTATTTCATGAGATATATTTTCTTTTCATATAAAAACTGAACGTTAGACATAATATAGTGTCTGAAGTGTAACTGTACACAGTAAATTCAAGATTCACAAACCATTGATATTTGGTGAGCTTCTAAAAGTACCATGACACAATTCAAGATCATAAAAAGCAATTAGTAATGCCTCATATAAAATACTGATTGTTTACCTTCAACAGTTACCCTTTCAAACATCTATTTTCAACTCATTCTTTATTTACATAATGCATGTAACATGTCTAATTAATTTATCCTTATAAGGATTTAGATTTATCCTTTTTACCCCTTTGAACCTAAATTAAGTATTAGATAGAGCCTGTAAAGCTGGTGGCACAATTTCCTGTTTCAGAACCTAAAGCATTCTGAGTAATATTTTTTAAAGTGTATATTTCAACCATGTGATTGATTTGCATAATTGACAGACAACCATGTTATTGGTTTACCAAAATTTTATTTAATTTTCCACAAAAAATGAAATGACTACCCAAGTCCTTCAAATACAGAAATGGTAAATTACCTGAAATTTAACAATTTAAAAATAGGAAAGCTGATACTCAAATTTAAGATTGAATAGACCAAAGGCATGACCATTTAGGGTAAACAAAAAGTATTTTAATTAGGACACATGTTATATAAGAGTCATCTACTACACAATAAAGCATGGAGGACAATACAGGTCTATTATATTAATTCTGACTTATCACAACTGGTCTTTGTTCTGTTGATATCTTCTTCGTCCATGGAACAAATATGGTGGTTAACCCAGAAATTTTATAGCTGTTAAACAGAAAGATTAGCTATACACTCCAGCTCTGTCCTGTTTGTGACAGATTCACAATAATATCACAACACTGTCAAACTCGCACAATCATTTTATTCAATAGTACATTTTGAACTCTCTGATTTTCCATTGAAAATTTTCAAAGCACAAAAAGTTGATTGTATTTACCAATTTTTATACTCGTCACCCAATAAGGGGGTCAACAAATTGCAAATAAATGGATGTTCATGATTTGTCTTTATAGCAGTGAAAATATGTCTCTGATGTTTAATATTTGAACAATACTAAATAAGATAACCAAAGAAACTGGAATGTGTTCATGTAAATTCTATCAAAAAATTACTGGGCACATATTAAACTAAGTATTTTGGGGGAAAATTTCTGAGGTTATCTGATTGATGTCCGTTTTTCCTTTTATATCTGAAAGCCGTGTCAAAACACCTTTTTGGCAGTGTTTGTTTCAAAATGTTTAGATCCATTTAAAACAAAACCAAAGTATTAAACATAGCAAGGGTTCAAAAATATGCAGGTCCAAGGTCCTGGACCTACACAAAAATTCCTCTCATAAGAATGAAAGTAAACAACTTTTATTTTAGGTACCTTATAATTAAAAATGTTTCAATAACCTCTTCAAAAATAAAGGACCTGTCATTGAGGACCAGGACCTTTTACCAAAAAAAAAATTTGAACCATGTATCTTATTATAGGACTAGGAATCACTATCATGATTTCCATGTATACAAAGGATTGTACAACTGACTGTGTATCAATTTATTTGTTTTAAACAGTGTCTATGTTGTTTACATAAGACAGACACTGTTTTCATCTAGTGAACCTACCTTTCTACAAAAAAGGTATTAGGGTATAAATAAACACATTATATATTTGTTCATAAATCAAATAAAAGTAAGTAAATCCACATACCTCTGTCACAATGGAAATATGAGAACTGAGCACAAAAAGTAAAGTAGAGGCACTAACCTTGTATTTTAACAGGTGGTTGGTTACTTCTTGATGATGTCAATTGTACTCCCTTTTTACACCCTCCACCCACTGGTAGATGGGAGCGGAGATCCCTTCATCTTATGCCTATCATTAGTATCTGATAAAGTTTCTAAAAACCACTGAATGTGGGCATTCTAGACTAATGACACATTGACTTTATTTTGAGGTATTACTGAGACAAATATATAGGTTGTATCAAAACAAGGACAAATATGGCAATGGGATTTAATTCAGACCTGCCTCTAAAAGATGGGTGGATTTATCTTAAACTCACCTGACACATCTCGAAAATCAAGTAAAATATCTATTATCACAAGTTATATAATGGGTCCAGTATAGTGGGAAATAAAGGGGAGGGAACTGTGAAAACCCATAAGTTTGCATTGCCTCCACTACCACTTAGTCATCAATTTCCATCTCCACACTTACCTGTATATATATCAGCCATCCCTTTCATCATTGAGAGACCTGTAATAATATCTTATCAATAAGAAACACTTACCCTTGGGGTCTCTACTACAATATTTTAGTTTTCTGTTGATATTTTGATCATCCACAGAATCTATAGGATGTTTTAAGTAATGAAATATAACCTATTATTTTATGATCTGGCATTCACACACAACATTAACCAAATAAAATTACAAAATCCTAAACAACTGCATTGTTTTAAAATCAACACACAGAAACTTGATCAAGTATACTCATAATTATCATTGCTTAGATGTTCAATACAATGTCAAAATCTATTTTTTTTTATCTTAAGGACTAGAACAGAAGATTTGATTTCAATCTTTTGCAATCAATGTTTCTCTCAACATAAGGTGATATCAATTTTTTAAGCACGTAAAACTTTAAATATAGCTCCCAGAAACTGCAGTGCCAAACAAGACATAAAAAAGTGCACAATGAAACATGGAATATCCATTTTTAGGTGTGAATGACTGATGTTTTTCCTTCTTTTTTGAATGTTTTCAATTCTAACAAAAAAATCTTTTCTTCATAAAGGAAAAAGTAAACCCCAATTTTTCCTTCTTTTCTTAAAATGTTAATACTGTAAACGAAAAAAACCATATTCGTCTTAAATTTATGAAAGAAAAGGAAAACCTCAGAATGAAAATAATTATTTCAAGAATCTGGAGAATATCTGAAAAGTATAAAGAGATCCCATTAGAAAGACTCCTTACCTTATGTAAATCACGGAAAAACTTGATCTCACGATTAATTATGTCTTTCTTGTCTCCTTCTAAATCCATATCATCCAAACCCTACAATTATATAATAGTCATTTACTAATTTAAGAATTGATACCAGTCCTGTGGAAATATGTTTAGACTGGAAACTTTTCTAAATGTGCCATGTTATCAAATAGAATGTGCCTTCTTCTGAGGGGACAAAAATAGACATTAGACTATAATATAAAAAAAGCCTTTTCACAAACTATAAGCATGATATGCTAATTCAACGCAGGGTTCTCAAAGTCCCCAAGGACTCTTACTCAGTAGAAATGGGAGTCCTGACAAGAAAATTGAGTCCAGAAAACAATGTGTAAAATTCTAGGACTGAATATTTACTCCCTGGACCATGATGAGGACAATTTTTGTAAATCTCCAGTTGTACTCACAATGTGGAAGTTACAAAAACTTTATTCCCCCATCCTACTTCCTTTTCTTCTTTAGTGCTGGCAGTCAAAAGTCAATACCCATCTATGTTCCTTTTTGGACAAGTTTTATAGACATTTTAAGTACACGTCCAAATTTCATGTTGTCCTGGGCCCTTGGTTATAAAACTTTACTCAGTACTCGGAGTACAAAACTTGTGCTTGAAACACCAAATCCAGTATTTTGATTGGTTGATTTCTGAGTCGGAGTACGATAATCTTGCTCTAAAGTTTTATGACAGCAAGGCCAGAATCATGCACAAAAAATTTGACATTGGATGTTAAGCAAGCAACAATAAATAAATAAAAAAATTGGTGAAATATTTTCTGCTGCATTTCAAACAACAAACAATCAATCAATCAGGTGTTTTTTTTTTTTATTATTTCTATAAAATAAAAATTGTTTCTCATAAAATCCTCTAAACCATATAAGAATCCTGAAATTTGTATATTTTAGGTGACTTACAGTGTCTCTTATAGGCATATCTTTTGGCTTTGGTAAAGGTTTAGGTTCTTCTTTCACTTCTTTTTCTGAAAACAAATTAACTTCATTTACATAATTGTAAAATTGTTTCTTTCATTGACAACACAAAAAAAAAGAAAACAGATTAAGCATTAATTTTGTCAATTAAAAGATATTATTGTTCCGAAGTATCTACATTTAGTAAATTAATGGGATTCCTTTCCTTTGATAATGCTTGGTATTTAAGAAATACTTCCAAATCACACAAACTTAAGTCATTTGGCATTTAAAATCTTCAAACCCTATTTAGTTAATTACTACCTGGGGTATTAGATTTAGATAACTCTGAAGAATATTCTCTCATGATGGCATCCAGACCAGCTTTAGCAACTCTATCTTCTCTTTTTGTGAATTCATCTAAATCACTGTTTTTATCACCATCCTCTTTCTTTTCATCTTTTTCCTCTCCTTCTTCCCCATCTGATTTATCTTCCCCATTTTCCTTTGGCTCTTTAGTTTCTTTGCTTTCCTTTTTTTCCTCTTCTTTTTTCATTGCTTCCTTTTTCTTAGCTCTGAATTCATCTAATAATGTTTTGGTCTTGGCATCAACTTTGACCTAAAAGGAATATGAACATACAATGTACATGGCTTAAATTTTTTCTTTTGCATCAGAATTTTTAGTATCTCACAAGCTTACTGTTAGGTCAAATGATGAATGCTTCACAATATTTTTATCTTGACAATAGTGTGCACAAATTTTCTATAAATCTGACACTTGACATGACATTCAGGCTCTTAAAATTATATGAATCTATTTTGAAAGTTTTTTTTATACAAAATCAAAATTATTTCAACTATCTTGCTATCTTCTAATTAGGATTTGAAAATTTTTATTCTCTTAACTTAAAATTTGCCATCCTGTTCTCTCATCACCAACTTACCACAAGTTTCTTTGTAGCTATGGTCCATTCATTGAGTAACCTCATACATCGCAAAGTAGCTTCAGGATCTTCATATTCACAGAAACCAAAGGCTGAAATCACAAAAATTCTTTGTTCAGAAAATATATATGTATGACCTTCGGTTGTCCAAGTGGAATTCAATGAGCTGTGTCATCCTCTGTCAAAACCCTATTTAATTGAAAGGTGAGAGCCAGTTCACTGCTGTAGGCTTTATCCTTTAGACTTTCCCTTTTGTTTTTTTTTGTATTTCTTGTTTGGTGACAATCTCACTAACATTTTCTTATTCTATCATTAAAGTTAAAGGGGCATCAGCTACGAGATATACAAAATCAAAGAGCTGAAAGCTCTAAGTAAAAATGACGCCATTGTCTCTCATATTAGGATATTTTTGATGCAAGTCTTGATTTTTACTTAATTTACCTACTGAATCTTAGGCGACGTTCAGTTTATGGTAGGTAGGGTAACTGATAGATGGGGTGTGATTGCCAATGAGATAACAGTCTGAGGTACTATCTACCAGAGTCCAAATAATGTGGCTGTTGGCAGTTATAAGTCACTTTCAGACCTCAACAATGTACCTAACTGGTTTATTGTTTTCATGTACCACAGGAAAAAGAGGAGTTGTGGCCAGGTGCTGCCAGGATTTAAAACTATTAGAATTACACAGTTTTGTCTACATTCAGAGAAAATTTCATGGTGTAAACACAGCCATTTTTGTTGGTGTATATTAGATGAACCTTAAAGGTGGATTATCAGATTATTGGTCACAGGAATATTAAAGTGATTGTTGACTTTTCAAATATAAAAATATGCACAAAGAAGGAAATATATCTGATTCCTTGTGAAAATTAAAAGATAGAACATTGTACTTTAATGGATTTGGTAATCTAATTTCAAGAATGACAACATGTATGATTTGTTACCATAAGTGTAAAATTTGTCCATTAGCTACTGTTTATTATGTTTATGGTTGAACTGCATCTTTGAACTTTGTCAACCAGTCATGATTTACTTCTTAAGCTGTGTAAGAACCTTCTTGTAATTGAAAATTGGTCTGCCATGATCACGATTTCTACAATATTCTGAGTTCCTGACAAGTTCAAAATTTAGCACATTTGCAGTTTACAATACCCAAAGATCAGGAGAAACAACGATTTTGATTGGCTGATCACAGTTGTCTCCCTTGGGAAAAGTTTGAGAAAGTTCGAAATTGGGAACAGTAGAATTTAACAAAATCGTGCAATCGTGACAAGGGGTCAAAATCGAGTATTTCACGCCTGAATCGTGCAAGTTGGCAGGTATGACAGGTTAAGAAATTAAAGAATGAAAATTACAAATTTAAGTCTGTTCCAGTTGTATTTCCAACAAGATGATTGAAAATTGTCCGACGGTCACGAAGGTTAATGACCGCCATTTTGTACACAACAAGACATATTGAAGGGACAACACCATCTGTTATTTTAAAATGTACATTTGCAACGCTGGAGTTGTCTTTCTTTTACCAATGTATGAGCATACGAACATTCACTTTAAGTATGTAAAATACGGAACCGAGTTCGGAATGCGGATTGGAAGTCTGGTCAATGGTAAAAGAAAATTGACTGCGTCATTTTCTAAAAATTAAAATAAGATTTTTTTGGTTTAATCATTAATGAAAGTAAAATAGTGAAATAATAATTCTAGCAGCCAGTTTGGTTCAGTTTTGTCAAAATAAGCTGATGAATTATTCACTTGCAAGTGAATAATAATTCAACCTCACTGAATCCATATTCATATGACCTTCAATTTAACCCCTTAGCTGGAGATGGGTTGCACATGTATTCAGCTTTAAAAGGAAAAGAATGTCAACATTGAAAGTGCAACAGGGATGAACCATTCCGTTGACTGATTTGATCCATAAAAACAATCATTCTTATACAGGTAAAACGATAATAAACATGATCAAACATACTTTTTAATCTGCAATATGAAATCCAACAGACCTAGAAAAGTCCAATTGTATGTGGTCGCTATCAATTTATATTTATATTTGTGTTTGTATTCGGTTATATGACAGTCGGCAGTCTTCGGAGTTCATCTCGATGGTTTTAAATTAGAGGGCCGTCGAGACAAAAATAAACATAAGATGCTGATACCCATTATCGAGTCTATGCATTGTTAATTGTTTATGTTAAGACTTTTTGTAATTTGGATATAATTTTTAGAATGTTTTAATCAAATAGGAGAATTTACGTCAAATCGATGAACATGAATTTGACAGCTAATGCCCTTTTAAGCTGGTTCGAACATCATGTGGATCATCATTTAGATATGTGAATATGGTTTTAATCATTATATTCTTAATTTCAGGCTTAGGAATCGTCAAAAAATATCTGCATTCTGACTTATTCCTGTTAACACATAAAAAATAACTGAATTTTAAAATATGTCAGTATTACTTCACCATTATCTCATATTTTTAGACATTTGTTGCAAATTACAATTATTTTTTGCATTTTAATGGAAGACCGGTAGGAACTTTTGATTTTTTTTGGGGTTCAATCAAATTAAGTATACAAAAAAATCAATTATAATACCTTGTAGTTTACCGCTGGCTCCTTGTACTCTTTTCCAACTTAGTACATTACCACATCTCTGGAAACAAATAGAATAAAACTTATTTTAATTCATATAGCATTCATAATGAAATTTTATTTTACAGAGGATAGTTATAATGTGATAAAAGTATCATTTACATTGATCTGAAGACATTTTCAAATTGAATCACAATGGTAAAGTATATGGATACTTTTGATCTGGTCAATTAATCAATTATCATCAACTTATTTAGTATCCCTGGATGGATTTTTCATACACCTATAATTTCTCATTATGTAAATTCTGGTTTATACAAACACAATTTACACATACTAAGTATATTTTGAGTAAGGGCGGAACATAGATTTTATTTGTCAAGATACTTTCCTTAGGGCTACTCCGGAAATAAATGTATGGGAGAGTTGGTTGGCAGCTGATTTATTTTTGAATGACTGTTGAGGGAGGATAAAATGCAATTTACACAAAGGTATATTGTTTCAGTCCTAATGATTGCATAAGATAATCCATTAACAATTGAGCTTGATAATGATGGTTATAACTGTCTTATATGGATCAACAATAGTTTGACTAAGGATTGACCTCCAAACAACTAAGATGTCTATTATTCTTACCTGTAACATTTGTCTAACCATAGCATCTGGTGCTCTGTCACTTATATTACCTACAAATACTGTTGTTACTGGTGGCTTTTCTTCTTTTTCATCCTAAAAGAGATCGTTTTATCATATGTAACAATTTTTCCTTTATATTGATTTGTTATTTTTGTACAATTCCACAATAAACAAGAAGGATAATAATTTGAAGGAGTCAATTAGGTCAAAGAAAAATTTAGTCACCTGCTGGAAAAAAATAGTAATTAGGTTGCCAAAACTTTGTCCATTATTTTCTTTTATTTGCAAACCCAGAAATAGCCTTATTCTGTTACAGAATCAGATCCAGTATTGCAGTTGCCTATATTCCAGGTTAGTGGCCAATTGTTGATGTTGTTTTTGCCAGTCAGATATGTTTTTACTCAGAAAATCATTGTCAAGAACAATACCAGTGAAAATTTATTTTCCCCTATGTTCAGTCAAAAAGTTGGGGGTCAGCTCTCAAAAATAAGGGTTGGTCAGGCATGTCACAGTACAGTAAACAAACAACTTTTTTATTGACCTTTAAATTGTCCCTCAAAACTGACCTTTTATTCTGCAAATTTTTCTTATATATAACATTAATCCTTCAGAGATTTTGTCTTTAGCCATTGCATAGTTCCAAACAGATGCCACAGGAATATAGGTTTGAACCTTCACTGTCAAGTACAACTTCAAAACTTGTCCTGACATACTCATTACAAAACACTTGTCTATACAGAATTTCAAAAGTGTGTGTGTGTGTGTGTTTTTAACGATATCCATGTATGATAAGGACAGAAATAAACAGGCAAAGTCAATGATGTGATTTTCCAACTTAGTGCACAATATTTAATTTAAAACAATATGGCATTCATATTTCAAATGCCTAATAACCCATTCCACATTTGAGTTTTTCTCTCAACCCGGAACAAATCTTCCATGTTATTTACTTACCTTTGTGATTTCTTGGGGAACCAGTTGACTCTTCAATGGTTTTTGTGCAATAGTTGTGGCTACTGTAGTTACAATAGGTCTCATCACCTGCAATAAAGAAATAAACAAATTGAACTAAAGCTACACTATTTCTCCCTATACAAGTACTTTCTCCAATATAGCAAAGTGGTAATCAGAGGAAGATGTCTCAATGGTATTTATATCAAATATTCATAACTTTATAAAAAGTACCAAATCCATTTATTTGGCTCCAATAGATTTTCCAATACTTTCAGAGGTTGGTTGGTTGAAAAGGATTAAATAATTCAGGCTATTTCAATTAATCTTTTCACGTTTAAAACCAAAAATCAAACCAGTAGTGCAAATTAACCAGAAAAAAATTAATAGCCCCACAGAAAAAACTAGCAGGAAATGTCAGTCGGTTTATAAAAATTGTCTGTTTGATGGCGCTATGATTATACATGATGTATATATATAAAAGTTTGTGAGAATTGATGTTTTGCTCAAAATGATGGTAAAGCATGGTAGCAACAAATGCTGGCAGAAAATCTTACCAAGTATGAAAGCTTTCTGTCAAACAGTCTCACAAGAAATTTAGAATGGCCTTGTTACAAAAGTAAATAAATGATTGAAGTTCAGTAGCATCCAGCAATTGTCAAAATACATGTAACATAACAGTGTAGTATGGACAAGAAAATATGAATGAAATATATTCCTACCAGGTGATTACTTACTGTCGTCGTCTGTACCATTCCCATATTCATGGGCATCATACCTAAAATTGTATAATAAAAAGTCTAAACAACATACATTGCAACACCCTAATTAGTTGTAAATGACATGATTACAGGTTTCTATTATTTACATAATTCAGAGAAAATGAGAAATAAATATTTTTTTCTTGCTTTGTAGTTTCAGCAACTCAATAGATATCACTTATGGTTTTCAATGTAAACAAAAACTGGGAAGTATAAGATGTGCCAAATAATATAAACAGAAATGACAAAGTTCATGTTATGGCACAATAAACCCTGTCAATCACACATCAAAATAAAATAGCAGGTTACAAATTCCTGTCCTGTAAAAGAATCTGAGCAACTTTGTTTAAACTCTGTCTAAATGTATTGAAGGAGTTGCAGATTAACAAAATGAGATGAGGATGACAACAAAACTGACCCCTTTGTGTTAATGCAGCTGGATGTTATCAGGCAACACAGTAAAAGCATGATGCCCATCTGCAAAGATGGGGGTCTAAACACAAACGGCTACAAATATATTTATCTCGGAATCTAGCAAGCCCATGTTTGAGCAGTGATTCATCAAAATATATCTATAACTTACTTATCAGGTTATTACCACAGTTTCAACAACCTTATGTACATGTATTAAATGTTCTAGTCCTTTGAAAATATAATTACCTATTGGTGCATATGCGTAGCCCATTCCTGGCATTCCAAGCGGTGGTCTAGGCGGGAAGGCCATATTCTGCAACAACAACAAAAAACATTTGAATTAAATATTTAATGTATTTTGTTAAAATGGTTCTTATTAGATATTTCAAGATTTTATGGATAATCTGGATTCTCAAGACTATTGTCTGGGGCACATGTGGGTGATTATCTGAACGTGGTTCCAAATACTGGAACATTATTATACCTGTATACAATTTAATACTTGTAATTGTTTATATACATGTACCAGTATTGTTGACAACATTATTATACAAGTATTGTGGTCTCCTAGTTCAGTTGTGACTTAGTTGTTCCCATGTATTCATAATCAATCTGGTAAATTATCACTGGCCAGTATTTTTTCTTTTCTAAGATGCTTAAGCTAGCTAGTTCAATTGTGTGTTGGTTTGGAGATCTGGTTAAATCGTAGATAATAACCAATTGTATAATCAAAATTTTAATAAAGAAAATGTTTAATATATTCTATTCAGTGGCGGATCCAGAACTTTTCATAAGTGGGGGCCCACTGACTGCCTAAGAGGGGGCCCCCTGCCCCCCTAAATCCACCTCGGCTATTTGAGTAAATTGCACTACTCATTGCTTGCTAAGCACCCATGCTTTTAGAAACCGATTATAGTTTTAGGAATGACGCCACAGTCGCCACTATAGCATTTTGGGCAGACTCACATCGCCTTTGCCCTACGCATTTCTGGAAAGAGATGTTGTTAGAAAAAAGTAATCTGTTTTCTGAGCAATCTACTGATGTACTGTAGGACTTGTCAGTGCAAATTAAAAATAAATATCTATGGTCATGATGTGTCATATTTGTAATACCTGAAACAGGCAATTTAATTTATAACTTTTATGGCAAATTTCAGTTGTTTTATAAGAACACAAGAGGCTGTCAGACAGCAAACTAAATTTTCCTGCATGAAAATGATATTTGCAAATCTGGACCCCCCAAACACATGAAACAGGACCAAGTAAAAAAAATAAATGAATTTTTGTAGGGTTCAGAAATGGAAAGGCCAAAATCAATCTAAGTATCACTTTTTGCTACTTAAAGGTCTACAACTCAACAACGATAAAAGCTAAAATTGTGAATATTGAACTTGACCTTCATTTAGTCATAGGAAACAAAATATCTATGTTTGAAAAGATTTCATCACAGTGTTTTCAAGTTATTGCACAGAGACTGTTTGTCAGCCGCCCGCCGTACATCACCAAATTAATAACTGATATTTTCCTTTGGAAATCAGGTTAAAAATTGGTCCTAAAATCACCATGTTGAGTGATTTCATAAAATTCATAACTCAAGTGCTTTCACAGATTCTCTGTGATAAACACAAATTATATGATTGGACTGATTAATCAAAATAAGTCAACTTGATCCTCTTTATTATTTTTTTATATCATTATATATATGTATCATTTCATATTTCTGTCATCAAAGCTGTTTAACTGCTATTGAAATAATTTCTATTGAAATAATTTCTATTTTTGTGGTCACCTGCTTAAACATGTAAAATAATCAAAATGAACATATATTCCACACAACATGATAAAAAGATTTTATTGGTAGACGAAAGAATTCCCAATTCTTGCTTATAGTGATACAAATTTCCTATTCTGATCGATAGGGCCCCATTTAACATAATTTTCAGGTCTTATTTTATAGTTCAATGCATAAATAATAAATGTACATTTACAGGAGAAAAAGTTATGACCTGTGATTTACAATGATAGGGGAAAGTCATGCAATGAACATAGCAGAACAGAACAGTACAGACTGATTTGACAGGTTGACTTCAATGCACAGGCCTAGCGTCCTGTTAAATAAAAATAATAATTTTTGCGAGCACGCACGCTCGGGCACCTGCCGAAAGGTACTTTGACTGCGATTCTTCAGTTTGTCATACTTTTGGACATCATTTTCTTTGTAAATTCTATTTATGTTAACTAAAAATAAAGAAACTAACGACAATCAACCTCAAAACAAATGATTACTTTGTGTTTATGTTCCTTTTTGCCTTCCTGTTCTGTATGTCGTTTATTCAATATGGCCGCTGTGTTATCACGAGGAGAGGTCAAGGTAAACAAGGGAGATAAGAAACTTTTTGGACTAAAATAAACTTGAGGCCCTGGAAGTTTGAACTAAATTATGAAATAAAATATGTCCCACAATATATGAATAGGAAATTATGAATTTTAGTTCCCTTTCTAATTTAAATAATGGTTAAATGGTACATGTAATGGTTTATGTGAAAAGACATGCATAAAAAAAATAATGAATGAAAGTTATTTCATTCAACAATACACATATATTTTCACCTCCTATACTTACCTTGATTGCTTGCAAGATTATGAACATTTTTAAATATATTTTTTTTACAAATGTCATTTTTAAAAGTTCATGAACATATGTTAATTTCAAAAATTTCATTAGAATCTTTATTCAATATTTGTAATCAGTTTTCTTTTAAAACAATTGTTTGTCTCCCTTTATAAGCTTTTATAAATTGTTAATTGTTGCTATACAAATCAGGCTATTTAAAAACTCTAAAATAATTAACATGAAAAATCACAGTGAACTAAACTTTCTAATTTAATACCTAAACTCAACTTCCCTGAATCATTTGCTAAGTATTTTATTTCTACTTACTATATATAAGCCTAGGTGCTGCTATAATTTTCAGAATACTTAATGTCAATTCCATATAGAATAAAACATTTTGCCCTACAACTGATTTTATTTTAATTAAGTTTCAATATCTCAACAACAAAAAAACTAGAATGGCCTGTGTCCCTCACCTGGATCTATGTGCATCTTCAACAATGGCCATTCTCCATCATTATCGACTGGAATTATACTTCATGACTTAAAAATCTCTTTCTTGTGTACCAGTATTTTGTATTTGTGATATTTTTTTTCTGTTTAGTTTCTCTCTTTCTACTATAGTTTTTGCCTTAAACAGAAAATGGGTAAAATCATCATTTAAGTGCAATAACTCCTATAGTATATAGATGATAGTTAGGCAATGTGTATAAAGACAACTGTTCAGCCATTACTTATAGAATAACTAACGTATTTCCGCCCAAGGCGACGTCACTGACAATACGACGTCGACAATGGACAAGTACAATAGTACGGACGTTATGTTCCCGCGACAATCTCAACATACTGGGGCCGCGAAAAGTAAAAAATATCACAATTTTCTAAATAATCTCAATTATCCATTGATCAATCGTTTCACTGATAAATTACTGTCCATCAATAAATAATAATACTTTGAAATTGTCTCTCGCGTTGTGTTTTTCTTTGAAATACTGAGTACATGAAATCATTTAAAACGGAAATTACATTTAGCAATTAAATTCAATTAATGTCACTCATGAAATAAGAATAAAATTCAACTTTGCACTTAAACGCGTAATTGTCTATCAATTACAGCACTAATGGTCGTCTTTCACATCATTGGTGTATCCACTTCCGTATGGTCTCACGGGCTTTAAGACTTGCTTTTCGTCTCGGTCTGTTCTCCATATTTTCCTGCTGATCATCTATTGGAACGTTAGAATTGTTTGTCATCGTTTGTGTAACTTCTAATGGATATAGTTTTGCGATCGGTCTAGTTGTTTCCCCATTGTTGGTCCTTATTCGTGCAGATCTTACAAGTCCGTCGTTACCTCTCGCCAGTTCGGTTACGATCCCAATTTTCCAGTTTATACGCGGAGATTCGTTGTGAATTTGCACGATGTCTCCTGTATTTATTAATTGTTCATTTTTTCCGGTAGTCCTATGAAATTCACGTAACGACGTAAGGTATTCGGATTTCCATCTTTTCCAGAAATGTTGAATCAATTGCGTTTGTCTTTGTACACTTTTATTAAAATCGTAATGTCCCATGTAAGTCGGGTCGGTGATGTTATCGATTTCTGGTTGTGGGTACGGTAAAGTTGAAATGCGCCTTCCGTATAGTAGATGAGACGGTGTTAAAGCTTCACAGTCTTTGATATCGGACGATGGATAAGTAAGCGGTCTGTCGTTTAAGATAGTTTCTATTTCCGCAACAATTGTTTGTAATGTTTCCATGTTAACTTGCGATCGTGCAAGCACTTTTTTCAAACTTGTCTTCGTAAGAGCAATCAAGCGCTCCCAGAATCCACCATACCATGGTGCACGTTTCGGTATGAATCTCCACTCTACACCGTGTGTTGATAAAGTATCTTTTACTATATCCGATTCACATAATCTTTTTATTTCCTCAGATCCTGCAATGAATGTAGATGCATTGTCAGATACTAGAATTTTAGGCAGAGATTTACGGCTAACAAAGCGTCGAAATGCCTGAATAAATGAATGTTCGCTCATGTTTGGAACTACTTCGAGATGAACTGCTCTAGTCGATGCGCACGTAAATAAACATATATACGCTTTCTTTAAAGTTCCTTCTTGATCCCTTACGTATAAAGCGCCTGTATAATCGACCCCTGTGACGGTAAATGGCGAGGCTTCCTGTACTCTTATTTTCGGAAGCGGTGGCGGGTCCGGTTTGCTGTAAGATTTTCCCATAACTTTGCGGCAAGTTACACACTTATTCAATAACTTCTTAATAAATTGTCGAAGTGTCGGTACCCAATACGATTGTCGTACAAAAGTCAGCGTAGCATTAAGTCCAGAATGGAGTGAACGTTCGTGTGCGTCTATCACAATCAGTTTGGTAAGTGGATGATTCGCAGGTATAAGGTACGGAAATTTGGTATTCTCTGAAATCGGTGCATTGTGAATTCTTCCATTGCATCTCACAAGACCATCGTCATCTATGAAGAGTCCTAATTGTCTTATTCTTGGAAATTTCATTGTGTTTTTATTTCGTGTGTCCTTTAAACTTTTTATTTCGGCTGAATATGAAGATTCTTGGCAATCTAATATCCATGAACGCACCGCGGTATTTATATCATATGTCGTCAAAATTCCACCTTTTCTCCGATGTTTGGTATATAGGCAGTTAGATATGAACCGCTGAACGTAAGCGGTTACTCGAATCAATTTCCTGAAAGTCCCATATTTCGAAATGTCTATAACGTTACTAATACCATAGTGATCAGTATGAACTTCATTGTTTAGAAATTCCTCTTCGTCGTTTTCTCCTGTAATTGTCATTACCATTTTACTTGTGGGAGTTATTTCTGGCCATTTTGTGCGATCCGTTAACCAATTTGGTCCTTTTTTCCAAATGACACTATCGATGTATTGATCGGCGTTAATTCCTCGTGTTAAGAGATCGGCTGGATTGCATTCTGTTGGACAATATCTCCATTCATGTTGATTTGTAGATTCCGTTATTTCTCTCACTCGATTCGCAATAAATCGTTTTAACGGTTTCGCTGATTTTAACCAGTGCAATACTATGCAGCTATCCGACCAGAAAACCACGTTTTTACATTCGAAAGTCGATTGTACATGTGACGCTAGTCTAGTTCCAATAACTGCGGCCATAAGTTCTAGTTGCGGTAATGTTAGGTTTTTCACTGGCGCTACTCTGCTTTTTGCCATCAGTAACGCAGTTTCGGTTCCGTTGTTCAGATATGCGGTCGCTCCATACGCCTTTGGACTGGCATCGCAAAATACGTGTAGTTCAAGTTGTTCCGAAGTAGAATTACCGGAGAAATAATATCTCGGAAAGACGATTTGTGTCGCTTTCTCTAAGTCGCTTGCTACATTAATCCAAGTAGCCTTAAAGTTTTCCGGAACTTGTTCATCCCAATCCAGTCTACTTTTCCATAGATCCTGTATTAGTGTCTTTGCTCTTATTGTTACCGGGCTGAGTATTCCAAGTGGATCGTATATTTTCGACGAATGTTTCAAAATCTCCCTTTTTGTTTCAATATCTCGTATTGGAATATCACATTTCTGGTACATCAGATCATCGGATTTGCTATTCCATAACATACCAAGTACTTTTGTGTTTTTGTCCATATCTAGTACATTTTCCGTCTTGGCTAGCTTGCGTATATTCTCACTGTTTGACGTCCACGATCGTAGGTTGAATCCGGCGTCTTTCATCATTGTTCTCGCTTCCTTATAATACGTATCAGCCTCATCCTCGTTCTGTAAACTTGTCAGAATGTTGTCCACGTACAAGTCTCTTTCCACCAATGTAGCTGTTTTACTGTTGTAACGTTGTAAATGTTTCAGTATTGTGGCGTTTAGTATAAACGGTGAACAAGTCGCTCCAAAAAAGACGGATTTGAACCTGTAAGTCTGTAAATAACTTGTTGGGTCGGATGGGTTACTTAGCCACAAGAAACGTGTAGCGTCTCGGTCATCCTCGTTTAATCCTACATGTAAAAAGGCTTTCTCAATATCCGTTGTTATGGCGACAGGGTTGGCTCTAAATCTCATCAGAATTTTTGTCAGGTCGTTTAGCTTCGGCGGTGTATCCAAGAGGCAGTCATTCAAGCTTTGCGAATTAGGCGACTGGCGACAACTGCAGTCGTAAACAATTCTGATAGGCGTAGTGCTTGATTCCTTCTGTACTGGATGATGAGGAATGTAGTGTAGTTTTTCTGAAGTTTCTGCTGTTTCATCCACCTTCTCTATGAATCCCCTACGTTCCTGTTCTTGTATGATGTTCCCGTACTTCTTTAACATATCTGGGTTTTGAGTAAGTCTTTTAATGACGTTTTCTGTCCTTCTCTTCGTGACTGCTAAATTTGTAGGCAATTCATCATGATCCTGTTTCCATGGTAACCTAGCGAAATATTTATTTTCTCGGAACTCAATTGATCTGTCCTGATAGGCTTTAATATATGCATCACCGTCTTCGTCTACCTCCTTACTATTTATTCCTATTGATTCTAAATTCCAAAATCTCTCTAGATTGTATTCTTCAACTTTGTGTGATATTAGAACATTAAACATGCTAGTTTTCGACGTGTTATTTTTCTTACCGTATGTAGGTCCCGAAAGCAAATATCCGATCTTGGATTTCACGGCGGTCGGACCGTTTCCCCGTACTATATGGTCTTCTACAATGTCCCAATAGTGATCTGCGCCTACTAACAACGATATTTCGAATGAATCTTGCTGTGTCATCGTGT